CTAATTTCTCCTGAGGGAACCAACTAACCTTTAGAATGCAGAAGTAGTGGGACCTAGGATTCCTTTGGAAAATATTGAGGACAGGACAGACATTCAACTTTTGTAGATCGGGGTACATGCTTACAAACATTATTATCCAATTTTCAGTATCACAGTCTGTGAGAGAGAATATTCTTTCTTTTCACAGTCTTTTTCATCAATCAGTTCCTATTCAAACTGTGTCTCATAGTCTGTGTAGGTGTGGGACAAGGTTTCTTTATTACACATGTGCTGAGACGGAGGTATCTGTTTGTTCTGTGAAATAATATAATGATGACAATGACTAATTGTGGAATTTGTCCAGAAATGAAACTGGCCACAAAAATCCATCTTAATGCAAGTTCAAAGACTGAAATATTCTCAGCATTGGCATAGAGATTCGGGGATTTTTTTCTTCTAATCTCTAAGCAAAAATAATTTTCTTCAGTTTTATGGATACATTTTTCTACTCAGATATTTTGTACTTCATCTGTATAAATCTTGTTTACTAATTTAAATGCATTAGATGCACAGTTTCAAAAACAAATTTGTGGATGTTTCTTCACAAAAGCCAGGTAAGATAACATTTCCCTGGAGAAGGCATATAGTAAATCAATAAAATACAAGTAACTTGATTGCATCAGTCAAATACACACAGTTATTGAGCTGGTTTTATTCTTTGAGAAAACAAAAAGAACTCAAATATTATTGCTTTTATGCAAATGAGATGCATTTATCCTCAGCCTTTTAAATTAATATTCACCATCCTTAAAAGTAAATTATTATTTTACAATTCTATAATTGTATTTAAAACAGTGAGGGAAGGGAAGTGATAGCTCTGTTTCTCTTTCAGCAGTTTTTAATGGAGTCAGTAGCTGTTATAATCATGACAGATGTTATCCCTTGAATATCACTATTGTTCCAAGATCCCTAATTTTACAGAAAACTAGAAATAGCAAGAATGGGGTGTGAATTTCTCCATTCCTTTCAGTTATACATTAAGTTAAAGGTTTAAAATTACCTTTTAAAAACTAGTACTGCTAATTAAGGACATGTCTTACAGTTGTTTCCAAATGAAGTCTAATTACAGGAGGTCTGGGTAGATAAAATAAAGAATGGTGTTAAAGTATATGGAAGACTTGTTTGTCAAGACCTTAAGGAACATATTGCAGGCTCTGTTGGAGAGATCCTAACTGCATCCATTGAGCTTGAAGACAGACTTATCTTTCTTCACTTTGGGAAATATTATGTCAGGTAATGTGTAAAAGACTATGAGATCCTGAACTTTGACAAAGTATAGCTTTTACATTTGTGAGGTAGCGAAGATCTTCACTGGGACCTGTCAGGCAGTGATGAGTTGAACTATACATAAACAAAACCAAACTATCCTCTGTCTCTATGTCCACAAATTTCTTTGTCCTTTGTAAACCAGTCCTGTAGTCCCAGACTTAATTAAAACAGTGATTAAAGTATGTGCAGCTGCACACTCAAACATAAGCCATACCCACACTCCTTAACAACAGAAGTGCATGCCTGTCATATTTTTGTAAACCCGCTGCTTTCTCTTAGTAGCAGGCGAGCCAGTGCTTCGTCTTAAAGACAGTCACAGACTGGGATGAAACGTTGTGTTCTGGGTCCAAGAAGACAGTGAGTAGGGGTATTTCTAAAAGTATGGAGCACATGGCTGTTTCCAAAGGAACACAGTATTGTTCTCATCCTTAAGCACAGTGTTGCCAATGTCCAAAATGTGACTGGAATTTTCAGTGTTGTGCAATGTTGTACTTAGGCTGTGAGTGTGATTGATTGCTATTTGCCATGCCAGGAGGGTTTTTTTAGTGTTCCTTGTATGTGTGCTAATGGTTGTCTCTCTCCAAGCTACACCATTTGCTTGGTTGAGATCCTGTCTTGGTGCAGAAATGAGACATACCATGTCTGTCTTTTTCATACACTGGCACAAGTGGGAACTGTGTCAATAACTTCAGAGAGAAGGGAATTAGGACCTGTAGAACGATGTAAGTTTTCTAAAATACTAAATAAATAAAGGTCCTTAACAAGACAAAATACTATTCTCTTGTTTCTTTCACTACTTTTCTATTTCCTTTGCCTTTGTACCCAGCTTTTATCCTCTTATTTTCATAATCACAAGAAGCCAAATTAATCTTGAGTGTAAGACTGCCAAACCAGCTTTGAATTTCTTTGACTGTTCTAACTCTCTATGCTTTGTGCCCAGCAATGAGAACTAGAGACTAGTTAGCTCTTACCAGCTGAGGTGTTGCATGGCTCATTAGTTTGGTAGATGAATCTCTGACTCAGCCTCAAATGTTGGCACATTTTAGATACCTCTACTTCTATCATGGTAAGTATCAGTTCTTTCATGAGTCACTTAATTTTCTTTTTGCATTAGGTATGCTACAAGTCATGTGCTTTGCTTCCAATAAAAACCACATGCTCCCTCTGAAGTAACTATGGAATCAAATCCTGACAAATTACAGGAGGGAAGGAACCCAGAAGAAGAGGTTTAAAACCATGCATCACTCAGAGGAGTAAAGCAATGAAAGGAGGGGACACAGCTGGCAGAACTGTGTCGAGAAAAGAAGGGACATATAAAAAATTAATCTCCAGAGTATAAGAGTAAAACTGAGGAATTAAAGTAGTTTCAAAGTGGCTGAAAAAAAAAAGGCAGAGAGAAGTTATAATAATAAAATGGTAAATCCACACAGGCAAACTAGAAGATGACAGTTAAGATCAGTGAAAACAAACAATAAGCAGAAAAAGCAAAATACACAAAACGTTCCTATCTGTAAGCCAGAACAAACAATCAAGGTAATGACTTGACATGCTTTTCAAAATTTTAAAAGGAAGAAAATGGCAATAGAAATAATGAATGGAACAATTTTAGAAATTGATAGTGGGAATGAAAATATTCTATTAAACAGTTTCTGTCTAATATTTTAAAGTTTTGCTCTTCTAATTGCCAAGCAATATAAATTTTCCTTCAAATCAGAGCAAACATTTTTTCATTTATATGTATTTGAGTTGTATATGTGGCATACAATGGCGTAATTTTAACTGATAATCTGTCTCTGTAGATTGTATTTCCTTAGTTCTTTAGTATCCTAAAAGTTCTTTAGTAGGTTTCAATGCAGTATCTTGATAGAAATGTGGCAACTCCATGCACCACTGCTCTAGCAGAGGTGGAATAAAGTCTGAGAAGTCCCAGACTTGTACTGAAGACAGAGCCTTGTATTGACAATCTCAGCATGAGTTTGTATTTCTGGAGCAGAGTAATCCAATTTTGCAACCTTGCTGTCCCCAGTATGTTTTTGCATACGTGGTAGCAACAAACTGTAGGATTGCAACATCCAGGTCACTCACCTGTCCTCATCCAAGGAGCACGGAAATCTCTTTATGCTGGAAAGCAGGAAAAACACTTGGCAAAACATTCAGCTCAGCTGCCTGTGTTTCAGAGTCTTTGATGATGTGTATGCCTAAATTCACGTTATGGTTACTCAGCTCACCCTGTGCATGTATTTTCAGAAGATCTGAACAGCTCTCTAGACAAAGTCTAGACCATAAGCTTGGCTGCCTAAGAACTCATTTGACTACAGCAGGAGTTCAAGTACGTTGTTGATGTATGGCCATCCATGTGTAGGAGTGTGGCTTTGCAGGCTGACATCCTGCTCTTGAATGAGCCCGAGCAGAGCCCGAGGAGTCCCGTGGCAGCAGGATGGGTGGACACACATCAGGCCTGGCAGCTTGGGCTCCAGATGCCCCATCAGCCCTGCCACCACAGCCCTGCCACCACAGCCCAGCCCTGGGAGGCTGCACAGCCCCCACCAGCAGGCTGATGAGCTTGGTGGAGTTTGTTCTTTTGCTAGGATCAAGTGCATGAGGTTATCTTGGCTAGTGAACACAGCAGGTGCCATTTCACCCAGGGCTGCAGCTATTTTCCCTACTGAGGGCAAACGCACTGTGTTCATAAACACTGCATACAAAACATTCCACTGTCATTCAGTAGCCCCTCATAATTTCTGCTAAAAAAATAAGCTAGACCATTGGGGGAAAAAAAGGTTAGGTCATTTGCTCTTATAGGGACTAATTACAAAATCCATGGCTGTGTTATTCAACATGCTGATGACTTTAAGTCTTTTGGCAATGTTACCTCCTGTATTTCCTGAATGTATCCCTCTAAACAAATTTTCTGGAAGGGTGAAGGCTGATACAGAGAGTCTGAGACTTAGTTTAAAGGGAAGAGTTAATTTTTGTGTTTATGATTGTATTTATTTGCTGCTGTATCTAGCAAGACCCCTGTCTTAAAAGATATTGTCTAGCTTATAAAGCAAAAACAAATATTGCAGGTCAAGTTCCTGTTTTCATATTAAATCCTTACCAAACTGAAAAAGAAAAACAAAAACAGAGAGAGACAAGGAAATATGTTATTGAGAAATCCTAAGTCCTGGAATTTTCGCTGTCAAGCTGATCCAGTGCAGACAGTACTGACTAAAGAGAGGATATTTTTGTGCTTGCAATTTGAGTAGGATAAGGTTAATATTTTCTTCCCAAATGTAATCTCTTTCTACAGTGATAGGATATCGTGTTTCTAATTTTATTTACAGAGATGGGTGGATTGGATCACTAAAACTGAGATTTGGGTTACAGTGTGGATTTATATCCCTACTCCTCCCTATAAAGACTGAGACTGCTAGTGTCTGGACTCATCTTTTCAATTAATTTGAAGTAATTAAAGGTTGCTGTGTGGGATGGGGCTAAAGAGAAACACAATTAAAATGTAATGCTTCTACTTTGGTATCTGCATCCTTATTTATTTTAAACCATCTTCAATGCTCTGACGAGTTTAAGTCTTCCTGTATCACATACTGTGTAAGCAGAAATATGTGAGTGAACTGTTGCCAATGGCTCTGAGCAAGCATGGGACATGTTTCAGATTACACTGTGTTTTCTTGTTCGGATCTGATCTTGCTAGGAGAGGCTGAGAAAGGCAGCTCTAGGGGATTTTCTTCCAGCAGCAGCAGCACATGATCCATCAATCGCGTGATTCTCACCACCGAGGACTAATGGGGAGGGTGAAGAAAAAGTGAATGCTGACTTGGGGAAGCAACAGAATTTTCTTCTGCTCCTGGGGCAGCTCCACCAGTCGGACCTTTCATGGCTTCTCCAAGGTTAGAAACCTACTGCTGCCCAAACCGGGATGCAGCTACACAGCTGGTGATGAACTTCCAGCCTGAAGTCTTCTGTGGAGTCTGCATTGGCAGTGCCTCCATCAGCCTGCTACTGACCATCCTGCAGCTCCTGCCAAAGAAGGGACAGAGCCCACGGAAGATGCCCAAAGCCTCCTCCTCCTCCACTATCCTTCTCCTTATCTCCATTTGTGACATCCTTGGAGGCTTAGGTAAGTGTCAGCTTGATGTCCTTGCCATTGCTGTAACAGGATCGTTTTGCTCTGAGGTACCACAGACAAATGAAGCTGGTGAGTGGACAGCAGAGATTTCTGAGGGAAGCATGCTGTTTGTGTTCACAGGAAGATTTGGACTAAGTGAGATGAGGAAATTATGTGTCTTTGGGGAGAAGGTTCTTGTTTAATAGTTATTCTATAGAAGTGAAAGCTCTTGACAAATTTACACCAAAATCTCTGCTTTAAAACAAATTAAAATCTAGAATGGTAACAGGTTCTCAGAGTAAGGCATAAAAGTGGAGATGAGGCAGCACACTGGAAAATAAATCTGACATCAGACACGTAGCCAATCCATAGGACTGCATTTGAAAACTACTGTCCTCTATGCTCTCAAATCCTTCCTGACCAAGTGTGCCTCTTGCTCATGTGCCAGCTGCTTCTCTGGGCACATCACATTGACAGAAAATGAGTTCGACTTGCAGCTGCACACAGATCATGCTGGACACAGGCTTTTGAAATCTGAGTAAAGATACCTTATCAAGGACACACTTGCCCAGAGCCTGGCCGATAGTCGGGAGGAATAAACCAGTGGAGACGAAAACAGAATTCATGAGTCAAAATGAAACTAGTATGTATTGAGCTGTCCCATCAGTCATTTGGTAATTTTTGCCATCAGTCATTTTGCTGTCAAATTGAGTATAAATTATTGTGACATGCGCTATAAAAATACAGGACAAGTTTGTTTCTACAGTAGCATTTTCCCCCCTCACATTAGGTAATAAAAGTAGTGCTGCTTTATCTCACTGCTGGGGTCCGTGTGTGTGTCTCTGTATCTGTGTCTTTCACACCCAGACAGGATCTCTCACAGTACCTAGTAAGTACCAGTATTAAACCAAAGATTATAAAGGAAGTAAAGAAAGAGATATGGAAGATTCATATGTGCATGCACCTGAAAAGGTCCTTTCAGCTAGATGAAGCCAGCAATAAAGTTATTTTTCTCCCTTCCCCTTTCACTGGCAAACTCAAACTAGTTATCCATTGTTGTTTTTGTATTAGACTCTCTTCGATGGGTGGAAAACAGTTCTTGGTGAGAAACCTGTTCATTTTGCTCTGTTTCCTGCTGATGCTTTATTTGAAGCAAACCCAGAAAACCTCACTAAAAAAGCCTCTAAGTCCATTTTTAAAAAGGGCATTGTTGTTACCTAATTCAGAAATGCTGCTTTGCTCGGTCCTGTGACAGAGGAAAAGGGCTACTTGTAAAATTAAGGCAGAGAAAAGTGAAAAATAACTCTTTTTCTGCAAAGGGGGTTTTATAGAGAAGCGAATATCAGTGTATGAATATATGCTGGTAAATAGTTATTCAGTGTTTTTGTCAATCTGTTAAATGCTACGGAGTTTATGTTAGGGAAGCATGTGACAGCATCTCTAAGTAAGAGAGATTCTAATCTATGTAGCGTTTTAAGTCCCAGCAGCTTCCGTCTCTTGGGGCTCCTTTCCCTGAATGATTTCACTGACATTTAAATAACACAGTTATCCCTGCTGTGCTCCTCTGCAGCCGTCGCCTTCCTGTAGACGCACAAAATCTGGGCTGCGATGTGAAATATGTGGCCTGGGAAAATCATGTGACTCAAATCACACCAGCAGATTCAAAGCATTAATACATTTTTTTTTCTTTAGGTATAATCTTCAGGTCAAGTGTGTGGCTGGGCTTCCCAGGCTTCATAGCTAACATTTCTGTGGTGAACAAGACTGACGTGTGGCCTTCCACGTTCTGTGTGGGGAGCGCGGTAGGTACAGAGAGCATCCCCCCCTTTCTTCTGCTCCCAATGAAGAGTCCCTCCACAGGGGGAATCTGAAAGGAAAACTACTGTGTCCAAAAGGAAATGTGGCTGTGAGTCAGAGCCTGGATATGATGGTTTCAGCCTCTGCCACACCCCTGCAAGTGCCTTCATGCCTCCCTGTGCGAGCCTGGGTCAGGGCAGGCAGGGTGTTGGTGGTGCTGTATGGTGGGTAAGGATGTGGGGCAGCACAGGTCACACTGAGCCTGGGAGTGCTGCAGTATTCACTCCTCCCAGGAGTGCCAGGGGACTGGAGTACATCAAAGTCTGGCATGTGGAGCCAAAAGGATATAAGCAACCCCAAAAGAGCTGTGAACTATTGTTTGGGTTTGTGCTGGCACAGCACCACGAATGCCCCAGCGGCCCCACTGCACTGGCAGCATGAGGTTTTCTGTCCATCTTTGCCAGAAATTGCAGCCTGTGCCATGGCAGCAGGGACCTCCTGAAACCAGCAACTTGGGTAGCTCAAATTAGCTTTGGTGGTATGAGTGTGTGTGTTTTAGACACAGAGGGACAACAGGATAAATATACTCAAAGCCACCAATCTGCTGGCAGAAGATCTGTCCTTGCCATGTGGGATTTCAGCTCAGATTGCTGGGCTGCATCTCAATGACTGCATCTGGCCAAGTCTAATTAAGTACCTTCTGGATTAAAATGCAAGAATAAGAAAATGTAAATGCATTCCAAAAATACAGACTGAAACTCAGTTCTAAATTTTACAATCAAAATACTGGGAAATAAAATTGGAGCTTACTGTACAAGAATAAAGGTCACAATTTTTACAAAAACATTGAGAATGACAAGTAAGACAGATCATCACTTTACCCAGATGCAATAGGAATGTGGGGTCCCCAATGAATTAATGCATGAGCAATAGCAGTATTAGCTTTGCAATTCAAAATTTACAATGTATAAGGGGATAGGTTGCATGTAAAAAAGATTATTCAGCTCCAGTAATTTTAAACTAAAGCAATATGTGCCAAATTGAACTCACTGTGCTTTATATACCTATATAAAAGCAGCTTCAAACAAGGTGGTTTTGTGCCACGAGCACAAATATAAATTGTATACATCTATCAATTCTCAATTCTATCATGCGTCTTTAAGTTTTACTTATTAGATGCAAATGTTGTTGTTTTTTCTTTGAGAAAGAACCAACAATCTCAATACCTTGCAGCAAGAATATCCTACTCAAAACCTATTGCTCCCCATGTTTCACTTTCTGGACCAAAACACATAAAAGTTTATTTTTAAACATGACAGGGTACTGTATGCAGGCTTTGCTTGTTTTTCATTTGAATTTCAGGTTAGATGGTGAGCAGCATAGCGGTCTACCACAATTTTTATTTTCCCTTACTTGTGCTCCAGGAAAATGCTGTAATTTGAGTCATTTTAAATTTAGATTCAACTATATTGGAAGGAAAAATAACCCTTCTTCCACTCATTTCCCCAACGTAGTCTCATGTGAGTTCATAAAATGTTTAAGATTCTATTTTATTTTTCTTTTAGTACTATTGTTTTATTTCTCTTAACCACAAGCCAATGCAAACTCTAAATAGTGAAACTTGTAGACATCTCCCTTGAATGGTTTTCAGAGGGGTACCCATTCAGGCACTGCACCAAGATATGTCATTTTGCTAAAAAGTAAGATATCATATGATGCTTTAGGGTTTAAGTGCATCTGATTTATATTATTTTTGGAGACAATTTTGTCTGTGTTGGATTTTCTGGAAAGACACTGTAGTTTATTTTTGTATATGTGTATGTAGGGGTAGTAAATTGTGCATTTTTCAACTGCAGCAAATATGTAAATGTGATGATGAAGTTACATACTGAGTGCTGTGGGTAAAGTGCATAAGAAGGAAGACTGGGATTTTATTTTCTGCCTCCTCTGCGCTAGGAAAATATCATGGTGTTTGAATTAAATACTGAATAATTCATGCCACAAATTACTAGAGGTAGGATCTACAGCCATGATGAAAGGAAGTATTTCCCAACTTGAATTACCTTTTGGAGGAAGGAGCACTAGATCTCTATTTACCAATGTTTGGCTTAGTAACAAATATGTTGATTTCCAGAGGTAAAATGATGCTACTATGGAGCTGTGATAGAGGATAGAGGATATTCAGATAAGAACTGAAAGACAGCTTGGAGGGAAAATAACATGAATATTAAAACACTCCCAGACTATTACAAAGAACCAGCTCCTATGGAGAAGAAATGTGGAATTTATATACGGTGGCAAAGAAAGGTCACTTTTCTTATATAAGCTCATGGGAAAAATGCATAGGGTCAACTCAAGAATTCTGTGGAATTTAGCTTGACTTGAACCTGTTTCCCTTGGATTTTTATTGAAGAAATCACTCAGGGAGTTCAGTAGGGATATTTTTCCAGAGGGTGAGTTATTTTCTCATTAATGATTTGTTTTTTTTTCTTGATAACTATCTTGTGCATGAAGAAAACACCCCTCACATGCAGAGCCCACAAATGCATAGGCACACTGTGGTTATGACTGACCTCAGTTATATTTTTGTGCCTCAGCTACTGAGAAACAACTGAAATTTTAACCTAAAATTATAACATCCTTGCTATAAATTTTTTTGGATTTCACTTACCACGTTCAGGTTAGGAACAGAGAGGTAAATAACAGGTTTTCTAAGTCAGAAAATAAGTTGTGAAAGCAAAGGCTGTTCAATTTAATTTACCTACGACTTGACCCATGCGCTACAACAATGCTGTCCCTGTGATTTTGAGTAAGATTTCATACTTCATATTCTCATCTGGAAAATACACACATTTAAAGAACAAAACAACAGGCAAAAGGTTGAGTCCCTTCCCTGCTCCAGTGGTACTGGAGAAGCAGCTGTGACATTTGTCACTTCTTTCTCCTCTAGATGTGGATCCAGCTGTTATATAGCGCTGGCTTCTGGTGGTTGTTTTGCTATGCTGTTGATTCTTACTTGGTGGTGAGAAGATCAGCTGGACTGAGGTACCAGAGTTAAAGCTCTGAATTTGTTTTTTTCCCATCCAACAAAGTATGTCTCTGTTTGCAGCTGCCTAAGAGCATAAGTGAGTCTTGTACAACCATATGATGCCATATAGTTACCAGGTAATGATAGGGATGAGTGGTGTTCTAAGTGCTTAAATTGCCAGGGCAATGCTCAGATACTGATTTATGTCTGACTTACATTTAAATGTAACTGAGTTCATTTAACCTTTGGAAAAATATGGAGCAAACTGTGGTCTATAAACTTTATGGCAATGAGATGGCTATTTTCGTCCCTACCCTTCATCTGAAATTGATTCTTGCAGCAAAAAAAAGTAGTGTTATGCTGAAAGTGGAAAATTTGGAGGGGGAAAGCACTGAAGTTCATACAGTTGATTTCATCTAGTTAATTCCCTTTTTTTTATTTTTCTCTGATTTTTTATTTTATCCATTTCTAAGTGATTGTGGTCATTATTGCCTTTCTGATCACACTTTTTAAATCCCTCAGAACAAAAAGATGTATTTATTATATATTTTTCTGCAATGCCTGTGACAGAAAAACCTAAGCCCTTTCAAAAGTACCATGCTTTAATGCCAGACAGAAGAAAAGATGTTTCCAAGTTGGTTGTTAGAAGAGCAAAATAACCTTCAGTTGCTACTGATAAAAGTGGAATGACATGACTCTGTTCCCAGGTGATACAGAACAGTAAAGTACTAAGGATATGGTTGTTCTGCAGATGTAACCAAAATGAGGCTTTTTGAGTTAACTTTAGACTGTTGAGGATAAACCTGATCTTGTAAAGTCCCATAGTTCTAGTCAAACAGCTTTCCTCATCTCTGTTAACCAAAAAACCCATGTGTATTTAGTTTTGAGACCAGAGTAAACACCAAAAGACTTTCTACAAGCATAGGTCTGAATCTCCCTAAATCAGGAGCAGTATCCAGCTCTGAAAGTTAAACATTTTTTCTTCAAATCACAAAAGGATGGTTTATTTGACTGTTCATCTCCATTCTTAAATTTTAATCTGCTGATTTGCTCTCTGCAGGAGAAATGAAAGATACAGGGGTTCCTTCTCAATAATAAGGGTAGGGAAGAAGTCTTGTCTCCTCCACCCTACAGGCTGGAGGTGACAGGACTTCCATGTGCAAGCCTAAATAACTGCTTTGGCTCATTCTTTTTCTGAAGAACTGCCCCCACCCACCTGCTTTCCTTAGTTTAATGTACTGCCAGCGTTTTTCTGCAGCATTTCCTGTCTGCAAGGCTCTTTTTCAGCGAGGTCCTATTTTTACCTTGCAATATGGGAAGTGTTGATATCTTTAACCATGCCTGTCGTGTTTGGTGCTTGCAGTACAATTGTGCTGTACCACATGATGACGTGGGGCCTCGCAGTGATGCTCTGTGTGGAGGGGATTGCCCTGCTCTACTACCCTTCTCTCTCCAGGTAAGCAGGCTCTGGAAACAGACTGTGAGATTGTGGTCTCTGGTCATTTGAATGTCTTTTGGTCAGCTTTAGAGACAGACATTCAAAAGTTGAGCATTTTGATCTTTGCCTAGGATGTCCCACTGAGTCAATGATTATGCTCGGAATACCTGCCTGGGCTTCAGGGGGCCCTGAAGAAATATGCCAGGCAATACAGGCACTTGGGTATGCTGTGATACACCCTTCTCTCACTCCTGATTTTACCTTTCCTTTCCATTTGAGAAAAATCCACAGACAGTGGATATGCACAGATAGTTTAAAATCAACTTTGTGTCCCATGTGAACTGGTGGTAAAAGTCTATGAAGTAAAATTTTTGCATCTGTTTGCTCCATTCCTTTTTTTTTTTTTCCTTTTTAAGTTAAAGGTGACATAGAATAGCCAGAAAAATGAGCTGTGGGGAAAAATTGCATAATCTTTTAATGATTTCTTCTCAGCTGTGAAAATGGCTTGGAACATGCAATCCCACATTACATCACAACCTATGCCCCACTCCTGCTAGTGCTTGTGGCCAACCCAATCCTGTTTAGGAGGACAGTATCAGCAGGTATGTTCCTAATGGTCAATCATTCTATGTCATGTAGCAACATAACACTGTAGGAAGTCATGGCTTTGGACTCAGTGATGTGTGACAGCTCCTTGATAAATCATAAAGATGCAGCAAAGGGTGGGAAACAGTTGCCTACTGAAATGAAGACACCATTTTGATGGGGAACTTGCCCTGGAAACACACTCTGGCGACACACAGGCTATTCTGTTATTAACTCCTAACTGCAGAGGGGCAAACATGTTTCCATGTCACTTGATTTAAAGCTTTTGAGGCAATGCACAGTGGATGCTTAACTCTAAGTAGTTTTGGTTATAGTTTTGGTACCAGCCTCAACTTTGGAATGTAAATTATTCTAGTTGGTGAGATCTGAGAGTTGATTTAACTTCTTGGCAGCCCTAAAGCAAAAAATAGAATAAAATCTGATCAGAATTTTGTCACTTATGATTCTGAGATTATGAAGCAAATGGGAATTGCACACAACTCAGATGGGATCTTGATGTCCCAGTTCAATTTATTATCCAGTGCTTGGAAGAAGTGAGACTGAAAAAAAGCCACAGATTCAATGCATTCTTTGCATGCAATATCATCATTGCTAGATATTTGCAGTGCCTGAATTTATCTACACATTGATTATATAAAAAAGCTGGAGAAAAATATTCTCAGTTCAATTTTTATCCCATCCATCCTCTGTCCCTCAACTATGCTCATTTTCAAAGAAGTAGTTGTTATTTTGAAAAGTTGTTCTATAAAAAGTTTTTTTTTGTAAATTTGTTTTTGCCTTTTTATATTCCTTGTGATATCTGAACAGCATGTGGCATACATTTTTTTTGCTGACAACCCATTTTCAAGTTTTAGAGGTGTAGCTAATGTTGTATGAATGACACAATGAAAAACAATGCTTATAATAGAAGATTCTATTTAAACATCACATGAAAAGTATATAATTATATCCCACATTCTATAGAAGGTACACACTACCTTTTGTTATAAAATAGACTTATGTTGACCATAATATTTTATCTTTTCAGTGGGATTGAAAAAAAAAAAAGTGAGATATCTTTCATTTTAGGAATCCAGCTGTGTGTAATTATCTTCCTTTCACATGAGATTCCTTGAAAATGATCCTTCCAGCTTCTGAACAGCTGCTGGAGACAAATCCATCCATTCCTTTGTTCCCTCTTTCAGGCCTCCATCTTCTGGATTTTTGTGCCTAAACAAACAAGATGTGTGTATATTAATGAACATAATTGTATACTTTCCAGTTGCCTCCTTACTGAAAGGGAGACAAGGGATTTACACAGAGAATGAAAGACGTCTGGGGACAGAGATCCAGATGCGCTTCTTCAAAATTATGCTGGTATTTGTTATTTGGTAAGAGGTACATTATTTTGCTTTAAAGTGCCTTTTTCCCAGAGAGACAGTCAGGGACAGGAGTAAAGACTGATGGGTTGCTTCATTTGTTTGTCTTGATGCTTGGAAGGGAAGGTATCTAAGGAAGAAGCAGTTCTAAACTAGTTCACAAAGGAGCTGAATCACTCCTGTAACATCACAAGGCCGTGAGGAAATGATAAAATGTTTAACCAACAGAAAAGCAAGAGCAACAAGAAACAATAGCAAAAAATTCCCAATAGGTTGGGCATCGACTGAAGCTGTCTGGTACAGCAGGCTCTCAGCTCTGTGGGCTGATAGATGGCTTTCTGTAATTAACATTTCTTGGAGCCTCTTGGCACCAAACACGTCACTGAGGACTTACAATAAATATGCTTCTAAGTCTGGCTTCATGACTCTGACTATAATCATACAATGCACCCACCTCTGTGCTCTGCAGTTTTCAAGTGTCTGAAAAAGACATGGATATTGACTGGAAAATAAGGAAATTCCAGAAAAGAAAACTCCATATGATTGTGTGTGAAATTTCTTCTTATTTTTTTAAAATATTCTATCTTCGCCCATGAAAATAGTACTTTGGCATAGGACAGAAAAGAGATAGGGAGGGCAAGAGCGGGACAACAAGAAATGGTTCTGGAGCAGTGAAATGAGAAGGCCAAAGTTAGCAGTCTCTACATCCCACTTCTTTATACACATGTGTATGAATGCATGTTACATTGCTTTAAAGGGCTGAGCACGGAGAAAGGCTGCCTCTTTTATCTTCTCTTGGCCGCTGTCTACTGGAGTGCTCTGAAAGGAAATTATTGTCTTTTTGGGGGGAATAACAGTCCACTTGGCTTGGAGGTGAAATTTCCAATGTAAAGGGTGGGGTAGCCAGCAGAGGAGGGAGTGAGAGACAGCAGTGAAGGATCCTGCAGCATGGCTTCCTGGAAATTGCTGAAATAATGAGCAGAGATTCAGCCAAGCTCCCAGGGCTGTGGAAAGGGGGAGCCCACAGAAGTGCATTGCAACCTAAGGGATGGTGGCCAGCTTGATTATCTGGGAACAAGCATGAAAGGAAAGGCCAATTTCCCATGGACATTGTGGGGACATTTGTTTATTTCCATTCTGTCTCATTCTGGGCTTTCCTAATAAAAAAGAAAATCACAGCTCTGGTTTAGGATTTTACTCTAATAAAACATAAGCTCTGGAGTGTAAAAACTTTCACAAAGGTTACTGGAGGAAAAGACTTAGGCAGTTTAATCTCAGAAGCATAGGAAAGATTTCCTTCTATCCCAGAAGTCAAATATGGAATACTTTAGTCAAAGACAGCAGGTTGGGGCAACATAGGATAGAAGAGATGTCTACAGATTTGGGAGGGGAGAACAGGAGGTTTTATATTGTGATAAAAATATAATTGTGCAAGGGACAAATATAAAACCCCTTAGAAAGTATGACATGAATGCTGATGGTCTGTTTTCTGAAGCTGCAGCATAACTATAAAGAACTGCTTCTCTCACTGTTTAGATGTCATAGGAACCTACAGACGTTTGCTATAATCTCTATTTAGTGTAGAACATAGTTTCTTTCAATGAATGAGGCTTGATTACGCTCATCCTGGAAACACCTTTATTCTTTGTCGCCTTTATTAAAAATAATTGTTAGCATTTTAAAGGATTAAAAAGTCAAATTTTGTGTTGCTTTTTGGTGTTTTTTAATGGACATTTCGGAAGTCTTTAATCTAACCCTGAAATTCTAACTCCACCTGGAAATTCTGCAGCTTTTTACAACAACATATGCATGTATTTGGGTTTCTTGTCTGGGAGCACAACTCTTCTAAGGCACAAGCAAAAGAAGTCAGCATGCATGATATTCCCATTATGGATCATACCTCCTTCTCATCTCAATTTTATTCTGCAATTTACTGTTCTGAAGCAAGTTAAAATTATCAGATTTGTTTCTTATATTGATTTATATTGTCTAGGCATGGGCAAGTAGGTAGCTGTCCAGTCCTTGATCATGATCTCATTGATCTACTGGCCCCTTCAGACTGAGATTTAACAAGAAATCCAACCGTCTTGGACTTGATCATCCTAGAGTTCTTTTCTACCCTTAATGATTCTATGACTAAAAAAATCTCACTGTCCTTAGAGTGATTTTAATTTCTATAATTTGAAGGTAAAGCACATTTTACATGCACATCCATATGTAACTGTCATTTTCCTCTTTGCTCCTCCCATAGCTGGTCATCCAATATCATCAACGAGACCCTTTTGTTCTATCTCGAAATGCAGCCAGATATCAATGAAATACCCCTGAAAAACATCAGAAGTGCTGCACTGATCACCTGGATTATAATGGTGGGTCAGCTGTGACATTGCTTAGTCTTGGAAATTACTGTTGTAAGACTGGTGGAACAACACCAGTATAGTGTGGGGTTCTTGATTTTGACAGGTATAAAAACTCTGAAAATCAAGGAAGAAAAGCAGAAAGTAAGAGAAAGGAATGAGCAGTCAAGGGGAGTGCTTTTCACATGTAAACTTTGCCAAAAATGTCCTAGAGGCCAACTTTTTCTCCCATTTACTGGAGTATGCATTCTCTCTGTGAGAGATAACTGCCCATTTTAAGATCCAGAACAGATAATTACAGTGATTTCTAGCCTAACCTTGCTAAACTCTGCCATAATGCAAGCTGCTAAGTTTTAGCTCACAGTTCTTGAAGGTTTCCCAATTAAATGGGCATTTAATGGAAATTCTCTGTTTGCAACTAGGGTCGATTTTTTTGTTGTTGTTATAAAGAATGATTGCACCTTATGTCATGACATTTGGATCATTATTTTGGAACAAATAGGGGAAAAGTCTTCACATAAGGCACCAAAAATAGCTGTGAGATGCTGTTCTCTTACTGCAGCCTCTTTTCTCCTATTAAAATATTTGACAAGGGATTTTTCAGAGGTGACAGTGCAGGTTTATTTTCCTAGAGAATTCATTCTGGAATTGTTAAATAGGTTTAAGGCCTGAGCATGATTTGTGTAATTAAGCACGTGAGCAGTTTGGTATTGAAAGCTTAAGGTTTGCAACTGATGTGACACAACCTCCTCCTCCTCTGACAAGGAGTGAACACATTCTTGTGACAGGGACCTTGCTCTTGCTCACCTGGAGAGCATAAGAGCAAGTCTGGGGACTGACCTACGTTTTAAATTGTCTGCAAAAATAATTTTCTTCTTTTCCTACGAGAAAAAATAGAAGCATCTAAAGCCATTAATTTGTTAAGCCTTTCATGGTACTGGGAACAGAGACAAATTTTTTGGCAATCACTTGGGATTTTCTTTTTCAGTGCCTCTCCCCATTTTTCCATCCCACTTTGATGGACATTTTCACTGTCTCAGGAATCTAAAGCAATTCCAGACAGATCAATTCCTGCTATTTTTAAAAGTTTGACTGTCTATGCTAGCGTCTCCTCTCATATATTAGACTTGGCTTGTAATGAAAAATGTATGTGCTTTTGTGAAGAAAAAAGTCCAGAGCTTGTGGGGAAAGTTAAAAACACACCAAGGGATTGGCTGGCTAAACTTCATGCAAGAAAATTATTTCATACTTACTGTTTCATAACTTACTGTTATAGCCTCAGCATTTTGGAAAACAGGTCATGGTATTTTTCTCTTATTTGTTTGTGTCTGCAATGGCTAAATTTTTGTTTGCATGCAAATAGCGTATTTTAAAGTCAGCAATCATTCAGTGAAAGGGAAGTTTTTAATACATGCAAATCATTTTGCTAGAGTTGAGGGTGAGGCCTTCCTTGCTGGTGTAACTCCTGCTGCACTTCTCTTTCCTAGGGGGTTCTTAATCCCATGCAGGGCTTTCTCTTCACATTAGCTTTCTATGGCTGGACAGGATGGAGAGTGGACCTGAAATGGCGAAAAAGAGAAATACCCTGGGAATCTTTGTCCTCATCAACTGTGGGGGAAAATGCCTATCCCTCACCAGTGAACTACCAAAGCAACATCCATGATTCCAAGAAGATCTCCACAGCTGACAGCCAGCAGACTGACGAGGCCATAAGCATGTTGTCTGAAGGTAACACCAGCAGTGACGAGAGATTAACCAGAAGCTCTCCCATCTACCAGGGCTGGTAGTTTTAATGTGCAGAGCTGGATCTAACTTTTCCTGGATCTAACTTTTCACATTGTCAGTACTCACAAAACCACGTCAATGTGTGAATCATTGTGTACTCTGGAATTAGGTTTGTGCTCAGTGGCTTGATGTAATTTCCTGTAACTTGTGACACTGTGTGAGAGAGCGTGTGAGACAGAGATATGGTTTATGTCTTCATTTGCCTTCTAGAAGACATGTGAGAAGGTATAAACCTTTTTCAGCAAGAATATATCTCTGCAAAGATATTTGTTACTTATGATTAATTTTCATTCATTTTGTTTTCATCTCTCTTGTAACCTCCTTATGGTAGAAGAGTCTTTTGTTTAAATAAATGGGCTATTCATATGTTGGGTTTTTAAATGTGTTGCCTTGCTTGTCTTACTCGGCATAAAATTCCTCACCCAGAATTACAGCTCTAGATTTCTGAGGCACCATCATTTCCAGCCTTTACAGCCTGGTAAAACATTAGTGACAGCAGACTCTGACTGAAGCACAAATATTTCCTGTTTGTGTAGATTTTCACTGACATAGTCTTCTTTTAGCTTGTGTATATGAATTTTTGGTGTGGTTTTATCTAGGGAGCTGAAAGGCTTCATTTAAAAAAATTGAGCCCAGCACAGGCTCCACAAACACTTCAGAACAAAGATTCCAGTTCACACCAGGTTCAAGAAAAAGTAAACCTTCAAACTATTTTTTAGCATGGATTCAGTCTGATCTTTATGTGTACTTACCTACCAGGACTGTGGCTGCTGGGGCAGGTGCATTAAGAGATAATATTTGCATAAAACACTTCCACGCTCTGAGTGCTCATCATAAAACAGAACAGTAGAATCGATAATCCCTTTTCTGAGGAATACTCTGTTTTATACCTTCATCTGCTGAATGAAGAGACATTAAATCAATTTTCCTTATCTTCTCACATACACCTCTTTTTGTGCAGCGCCATAGGTACCTACCTCCAAAAAATTTCCCAGATTGGTTGAAAGTTAAGAAACAATGATGATCATGTCTACACTAAGCTCTTGACTTCATATCAAAAATAGAAATAATATAATTTGTCTGGTTGTGCTGGAAGTTGTTCACAGCACAGTTTGACTGATGGCATGGTGGAAGCCCCTTGAGCCCAAGTAATCACCCTCCTCTTCCTCAGCATGTGACCAGGGCTGGGCTTTATTTCCTGCTCACATCCACTTTGGCTGAACTTTGAGTTTCAGCTATGGTAAAAAAAAAATAAAAAAAAATTATTATTATTATTATTATTATTATTATTATTATTATTATTATTATTATTAAAGACAGCTGAAAGGTTAATGCAAAAATAAAATGAAGCTTAACTTTTTGGGTTACTCAGGGAGGTCTTGGGAAGGTTAGAAATTCAGGATCAGGAAAGGTTAGGATTCAGGATCAACAGAAACAATACTGAAAAATATTGATTGGCTAATTAAAATAAATCAGCTTCCTGAGTTAATTGTTTGATACAAAGGTGTTAAGCAATGATGGAACAGATTTAGGCAGGTCATTACAGAGCTGTGTTGGCTTGTAGCAAGTCTTTTACATTGTGCCCTTTGGAAACCTTCATGGCTTTATGGCTTTTTATTGCTGCTCTCCTTGTCAGAGCTACTGGCAGATCACCAGACCCTTTCATCACAGTCGTTTGTTACCTACCAAAGTATGAAGAGACAGCACACAGACTTATGAGCATATTATACTGAGCCTTTTGAAACAGAGACCATTTTTCAGTGCAATACTCATCACAGCTGGGGTCAAAAGAGCAGGAAAAAGGTGGAGGTGGAATTGTTAGTAAACCTTTTCATATGCTATGGTGTGGACCAAGCTGCAAAACCTTAAACCAAAATAAACAGTCTCTGGCTTCACTGGAATCATTATGTGGCACAAAAGCACTTGGGAGGCACAGGCTGTAGCCTGACTGAATGACTGATCCCTCCCTGCCTTCACTGCCCCAGGACATTTTTGTGGGACAGGGACAGATGGGGTGCCCCAGTCCTGGTTCCCCAAAGCTGTGAGCAGCCCCTGAGCAGTGCCAGGTGGCTGCTGGCACTGGAGCACTCCTGTTCTGGGACAGCCTTGTGCAAGGGCCAGGCTTTGCTCCTCTCCTTTTCTTGTTCTTTCAAGCTTGTTGTTGGGGTGAGTCTGGTGTGTATCTAGTGGGATGTCATCAGGAAAAATTAGGATTCATCTGGGAGCCTAAGGAAGAAAACTGACCTGATTTTGATGTATCTACAAATTGCTATGGGGCAGTGCAGAGCACACTGCCAGTGGGTTTTGACTTGTAAAAGAAGTATGTGTGAGGTGAGTCTCCTTGCCTGCTGTTCTAGCCTCCAGTGGATGTACAGGAGGCATTCCTTCATAGCTTAAAATTGGATGATAAGATTCTAATTATGTGTAAGCACAACCACATTTGATCTGACCTTACACAAATTTTGTTCTCAGCTCACTATTCAACAAATCAGTCAAAGCATTATCTTCTTCAACGATTGCAGTAGATGCCCCTCCCTTCTCACCCACAATATATTTTTCAAGTCCATCTCCTGACTGTCTCCACTCTGTGTGCTTGCTGCATGCATGTGAGGGAGCAGCCATAGGCCACCACAGCCAGCTTAATTTTGAGGGAAATTATGTCCTTCAAGGGTCAGGAATGGCAAACTACAGACACCCATCCTGGACAGCACAGCTGTGACACCAACACAACCACTGCCTTCTTAAGGGTGCCACGCACTGCTGAGAGACCCAGCACACAGAAAAACATCCTAGCTTCCATTCTGATGGTGATCTGTACCTGCTTAGTTGTCATGAGGGCTGCCCTGGTGAATGTGGGAAGAGCTTGTCTCTGGTCTGTTTGTTTTCTAAGACGTGTTTCAAACATGGCCCGGGTTAACAAGGGAGAGGTCTTGTCAACACTGAAGTCCATCAGTGCAGTCAGAGTCTGTGGTCTGCACCTTACACTGTGGGAGGGACTCACTGCCACAGCACACAGCTCTTCCCTCCTTGAGCAGGAGGGCAGCTGTTCCTCTGGAACAGCAAGGTGTGACTCAGAGGAGAAGTAAACAGAAGTAAAACAGGATCAGACACTGTCTAATAAAATATATGTAGCTAAACTGTTGTTTCATGAGTACAGAAGTTGCCAACTATAGTTTCTTGTATTTTGGGTGCATTAGAGCACAACAAAGCCTTTCTGAATTTATCAAAGGGAAAAAGTGTTAATTTAAATAAAAGGGTAGTTGAATCCATGCACTGAATTAGTGTAGTGGAATTACATAAAGAGGATATCTATACATACATTTCCTCTATTAAACACTTCCCTGGCCTCCCAGCCAGCTTATCAAGTCAACTGCACGGTAAGTTCTCTCTGTATTCACCAGAACTTATTTTTAAGCACTCAAAGATAAAATGCAAACGTCTGTGAAAAGTGCCTTCTCATATCCTGCAATACTTTCTTAAACATTTCTGGCTCTTTTCTGTTAGTGGAAGAGGACATATGGAACTGTATTTGACCTGCCATACATTTAAATACTATTTTATTTGGCCAGATGTTCAGGCTAATTACAAAGCTGAAATATGAGCACTAATAAAATAATAAACAATGCGAATAGGCAGATTTCTTGCATACCACAGCTCTGCATTTATGAGGTGCACCACATGTCTGAATAACAAAATCCTAACTACATCTCTCATTAATCCCTTCTTCTGGTAGACCAAATACATGGAGCTAGAAAGTGGAATGTTAAATGTGATCCCCCCCATCCCCTGGATAACCCCTGGATACTTGACTTATACTTCAGTGTTTGCCTCTGTGTATCCATGATAATAAGTTATCTGATCTCCAAAAATTTTTAAAATTTTCATGGAATCTCAAGTTTACAGTAATCTCAGAGGAAAATCACTAGACCACACGGTAGTTGATGTAAGACAGGTCAGATGATGTCTGGTTATCAATTTTTTAAGAAACAGACATGTACATGTGTGGACATTGAAACTGTCAGCTGAAGAAGATGCAATCTTACTGCAAGGAAAGCTGGGAACAAAGTCAAGTCCAGGAATGCAGGCATGAATCTGTTTTCCCAGTTAATATTCCCTAGGATATGCTGTGAGCTGTATGGAAATTTTGTTCTCTTACTGCACCTTTCTAAGTAAACTCTTAATCATTCAGGGCACTAAAGTGGGGTTTTGTAGGTAAAGTTTTCAAAAGGCTGAGAAAACTCAAGCATGTAGCTATAGGGGAAACCATTAAGTGATGAAAGTTATGGGAAGATTTTTGCTGCTCCAGCACCTCTTACTTGCTGGGTTCCATCACATTTTGGGACAGCAAGAAGATTTTGAAGCTTTCAGGGTTCTCCATAGAGGACATTTGTGTCCTTGCAAAGCCAGTGCCTGGAGATGAGAAGGCTGGCGAGGTGGTGGCTGACTTGCCCTGGGCTCTGTCCTGTGGCACGTGGCAGTACCAAGGGCACCGTGGGTCTCTTTGTGCCTTGGTGTCACACTGGGATGAAATTCAGGCAGATTCTGTTCTATGGTTAGGAAATAGAGTCTTAAGGGGTAGAGAAGAGCCGTGAGGGACTGAGATGTGTTCCTCCCTCTGGAGAGTGGGAGAATGACAGGTCTGTTAATAAAGATAACCTTTGTTGATGAAGCCTTGTCCTATCCTAGATTTTCACCAGCTTTGCCATAGCTGGGAGGGACTCGGGGTAGATGGAGGCCTTGGATCCTTGCCCTCCAGTTGGCTCCACAGAGGTTCCCACCCTCTTGTGCATCTGTGAGCCTCCTGGAAAGTCTGGAGAATGTGCAGAACCAAACACACTGTGGGTGTTACTGTGCTTACTGGAAAGGGCACATTTTAAAGACATCGGTGTAAAACAACACAGTGGGGCTGGTTTTGTGCTGTGTGAGGAACCAGTTGTGTTGGGTGAGGTGTCCTGTCCTTGCAGAATTCTCCCCCCTCAGAGGGCACCAAGACTCAGGACAGCATGAAAACACTGGCAGCCATTCATTGCAGCTGTAGCCATGTGATAGCATCTGCTCCTGGTTTGCTGCTACAGCAGATCTTGAGTGAATTTCCTGGAGGAAAAGAGGAAAAAAAAAGGGAACAACACAAGTCCCTCCCTAGGCAAAAGCACTCAACCGAGCACCACATTTTATGTGGCAATTGAAAGGTCCCTCTACCCTGCCTCTGGTCATGTGGCAGCATGTGACAGGGAGCACAGCATTCTTCTCACCAGCCCTTCCTCAAGGCATCAGACTTGTCTTGCCAAGGATCAGAAG